TTTTTTTTTTTCTTTCGATAATGATCAGTTTACATGTACAAGAATAAAAATGTGCGTGTCCGTTGAATTTCTACAAATAAATCTGTCCTTGTTGCACATTAGCGTGCTCTTTATCTAGTTCGCTGCATGTCATGTTTATCTTTGTCATATACTAGCGCGCTTCTTATCTAACAATAATATTGCCATCTCTCGATTAGAACTGAAAGGACAAAATGACAAAATTTGATAGATCGCAGCACTTGTATGCGACAAGGATCGTAATATATTTTAGTTCCATTGTTTCACCGCTACGTGGCGCTAGCATTTCAATGTCCATAAATTGATTAAATTTTCATTTATAAAAAAAAAAACAATTTGGGAGATTATTTTGTGAACTTTTATGATTATCTTCTTAATTGAAGCCTAAATTTTCTCCCTTTATGCCATATTTGCTTCAAAATACATAAATAAAATCCATTTGCGAAACAAACCACAATATGATTTATTCATTCATCAGGGAAAGAAATATACATTCTGTTTGTATGTTATTTAAAATGAAATTCGATTGCAATAATAATTTCTAAATGAAATTTCATTAAAGAATAGAATTAGTATAACATAGCTACAGTTTAAAGAAATATAATATTTTATATACGTAATATATTATTTGAGGAATTACAGAGTTTATCATTCATAGCTTCCTTAAGATTTGATACGAACAATTTAACTGTAATTTATTGAAAAGGTGATATAATACCCATTATTTCCATTACTGCTAAATCAAAAGACCTGAAACAATATATACACTGATTTTGTTACATTGAAACTTCTCAAATGCATTAAATAAATGTCATACACATTAACTAAATAAATTCAACTTGCCTGGAATTTAACTGATCACCCGGAATGTAAAATGGATTGCAAACAGCATTAGAATAAGCTGCGTGTAATTTCTTAAAAATCTGTAAAGAAAAGACATACATTTTCGTCATATTAAATACAATCTTATTATAGAATAATCTATAAAAAATTTACCATTTTCACATCATTATCTCTCAAAGATACATTTGATGAATGTAGCACAATAATAAATTTAATTTTTGTATTTGTGGCATAACCATATCTGAAATTTAAAAACTGGAGTCGTAAGAAATATAATTATATTCGCAGATATAAAATACATAATATGTGTATATACATTTTGTATTCTTCAGTAGCGTATAATAAGTTTAAATATAAATCTCGTATATCAGTAGCAGCTTTATTTCCAACATTTAATTTTTCTTCTATTATGTCAATTGATGTATGAACCTTGCAATGAAATTGTAGAGCTGATGATTCATCTACACACCTAATGTATTTCGGAGAATTCTATAAATAAAATTAAAACATATTGTTATTGTTATATAAAATTTAGAATATATTTTTTTATTTTTATCATTCATTAATTGGATCTTGGAGATTATCATCATAACCTCAAAAGATTTAAAAATGTATGCTTACATCTTTTCCAATTACAGCTACACAAACTGCCATATTTATAAATCCTGTAAACTTACAACATTATAATCCATAACAAAATATTTTTAATAACTGTAGGTAAAAACTACAATTTTTGAGAAAATTGCAATACACGTAAATAATTTTTAGATCTAGTAACGTACAGGTTATACTGTCATTTTTGACAACTAGTACATAACATGTTAAAATAATTTTAGTATATAATGTAAATTTAAAAAATACATGTTTATTAATAAGATCAATAATCATACATAATATATTATAAAATATTGCATTATTTAAACAACAAATTTATAAATTTAATAAAACACTAATTATATTTATGATTAAAGTCGTTAAGAATTGTTTAATTTATACGATAATAAAAATCAAAAAATTTAATCAAAAACTCAGTTTTTAAGAAAAAATAGAGTTTTTATTTGTATCTTGTATCTACATACGTATAAAAATATAAATACAATATGATACAACAGAATATTATCATTTTTCATATCTTTTTTTTAAAGTTCTGTACTTGCGTAGCATATATAAAGCCTCTAATTCTTTGATAATAAAATCACCATGGGCCAACATTTTATCAATTTTTTCAGAATCACGTTCTCCTTTATTTTTTTCAAAGACTCTTTTTAAATTTTTTTTAAAAAAATCATAACCTCTTGGATAATCGCGACCCATATACAAGAGCTGAAAACATTGAGAAATTATTGTTACTTGATCGATAACAACAAGATTGTTTAATATCTACTAGTAAGTAATTTTCGTATGTATAATATTTTCTATGATTGCTGTTTTATTTTTAAATAATATGTCTAATTTCATACCGTCTTGTATAATTGGATGACTTTAGAACGTTGAGACATTGATTGAATAAATTATAAATATTAATCAATCAATGAACATTTCCTTGGTTATGTACGTATGTATAAACAGCGTTAATTTTTAGTATATAGAAACTTTACTAATTTTAGTTATATAGAAATTGTATCAACATATTCAAAACAATTTATTGTCAAATTATTGTTAGCTCTATCGCTTTAATTAAATAACGTTACATATGTAGAAAAGTTAAGAAAACACTTTTTAATCTTACAAGATACAATATATGTCATTAACCAATCACATCATAAGCTGATGCTTTCTTATTTTGTTATTTTATTGCAACAAATAAAAAATAACAATTGTATTATAATTTTGATTATAGAGAAAAATATAGACTCATTTACGTTTCCTTGGTATATTTGATTGAACATCTGATTTTGATAAATTTAAAAGGAATCACTTAATGAAGTAAATTTTCCAACACATGATTCATAGAATAATTAATAAATAATGAAAGTAATTTATTTTGCTTCGCATTAAATTTCAAGTACTATTATTCTGTAGGGAATAAATGTATTATGCTGGTTATATTGGTATGCATGTTTAATTTTTTTGAAATAAATTATATATTACATGTATATGTATATGTATTATTTTTCTTCATTTTTCTTTATTAGTAATATTTATACTTTGAAGAATAAAAGTAGTAATAATTACCAGTTAGTGTTTCTAAGAGATTTTTTTAAAAATATTAAATCTCAACAATGGTATCACAATTTATCATCTTTCAAATCATAAAAATAAAATATTTTTTTACAAACAATTGCAATACAATTCTATTCTATTCTATTTAGTATTCTATACAGATACTAAATTGTATATTGTAAAAAAATGTTAATAAAAATATTATATCTTCTACTTTGGTTATTCAAAACTTATTACCTTTCTTTTAATGATATATTCTTATTATATTAGTATTAAAAATTTTACAGAATTGTTTTTTTATATTCAGTACAATTAACTGATAAAAAGAATTAATAAAAAGAGCTTAATTTTCTATTACAATAACGTATCTGTGAGTTCTGAACGGCAACCATGAGACTGACTCATTCTAGAAGTAATTTAAGTAGGATGACAAATGCTAACGTTGTAATTTTATGTTACAACTATTTTTCTAAATCATCATTTCTCGAAAAAGATTTTCCAAAGTATTTTATATTGCTATTTTGCTTATAACAAAATAAAATATTAAGATTAAATATTTAATTATTCGATTTACCGCATTTAATGAATTATAATTAACAAATATTATTTATTAGTTCAGTTATTATTATTACTAAATTTAGTTGTAATATATATTTACATTATCAATCAAATAATAATCGCAATTTAAACGATTTGAATAAATATATATTCGTTTTTAAATACATAAATATTAATATTGATTCTATATCTCGAAGTTTTCATATGCATAAAAGTAATTGTTAAAAATTTATTAAAGTTGTAAAAATAGTAGTACAAGAAATTGTGCACATTTATACAATCTGTATTGTATTTAGTACATCTTAAAGTTGAGGATACATCATAGCAATACATCCTTAAATGATCTGTAAAATGAAATTTTCTCCTAATTATAAATAGTCAATAAAATAGTTATTAAAGTAGTCTTTGTTTAAGTAAAGTGTTGTGATAATATTAACCATGTATATTTCTTGAACGATTGATAAGTGTATTTCCACAAAAAAACATACATTTAGACAAATCAAAAAACATCACACTACGTCCCATTTGGTGGTGGTAGCATTCCTATCAGTTCGTGTCCGCCTATATAAGTTCAATGGTCAGTGGTCATTGGTCATTTAACGTTTGTATTTATGCCAAACATTTATGTGAGACGAATGTAGTATATGTTACAAAAAATTTTACTGCTACGGTCATTTGTTATTGTTTTAGTTGATCTGGAACATTTAAAAATCTACTTTGGAAATCATTTTTAGTAAGTAGAATGTAACTATTTAGATTTTTTTAAATATTCTATTTCTTTACAATATTCTTGAGTTTCTCTTTTTGTTTGGATATTTAGTTAGTCAACAATTAATTATTGTGAATATATTGATTTAATAATTTTATTTTAATAATTATTTTAAAATTAAATATCTTTTCATTAATAAACCCCATTTACATTTTAAATATTTAGAAAAATACGGTTCTCTAATATCATAATCTATTTATTTATATAAATTAAATTGTTCTAAATAATATTTTTAATTATTTTATTTTTTGTATAATTTTTTTTTCAAATTTTGAATTATAAATTATGCTAAGATTATTTTGTGATAAGAATGATTGATAAATAATTGTTTTTAGATAATATATCTTATCTCTTAAAATTAAATTATTATTTATAATAACATAATCAGTAATATACTTCATTTCAATCACAATGTTATCGAAAGTACAAAAATATCTAATCAATATCTTGATTGTTCACATTATAGGAGTACAAAAATGAATATTTTTGCAACCACTTTTACATTAATAGTGTTAGGTAAGATAATAATTATTGATATTTTCTTTCATTTATTTTTTTATTATAATAATGTTGATAACTTTAATTTATATTAGGTACTTCTTACATTGAAGCAGTAGCGTCTCCAACATTTAGTAATACTTACACAGTAAAGGGAACCTTATACATTCCATATGCTGAAATCCGGGAACCGTTTTATGCATGGTATGATGGCAAAGGTGGATCCAGTAGAATTGATTACTATGGAGGTAATTTAAATACGAATTAAGTATGAATTTAAGATTTAATATGAAAATTCTTTCTTAAGAAGAAAACAAATCAAATTTGATGTAATTAGGAATGGTGAAGACTTTCCAATTAGCACATAAAGGATCATATGGAAAAAGCTTAAAAATTGCTCCAATAACTACAGAATCTGTTCTTAATGAACAAACATGCCTTGAAGTAAATGGTACTAAAGAATTTAAAATTCAACCTCAAATTATTATTCCGGATACAACTGGAATGGAGGTAAAATAATATTTCTTCATTTGTTTTCAACAATTTAAATTTAATTGCTATTATAAAATTAAATATTATCCATCCAGTGTATTGGAGAAGAAATGATTAATGGTTTATTATGTGAGAAATGGAGGCTGGAACAACAAGTTGATGAAAAATTGAACAAGTATACTCTTTGGATAAGATATAAGGTAATGATTACATAATCTTATCAATTTATTAATTAAACATCAAATATCTGATTGTTTCAAAATTAATTATAGAAATCTCCACATGTACCTAATTATAAAGAACCAATTCCTGTTAGATATGAAATGAGAGGATTTAACAGCCTTTTGGGCTCTCACTATGATCATTACTACTTAGATTATGATTGGTATTCTTCTGAAACACCTAGCTCAGAAGTGTTTGAAATCACAACAAGTAATTAGAATTCTTTTCATTTATTATAAATTTTATTTGAATATATTTTAACTATAAATTGTGTATCACAAATAGACATGACATGCATTAGTTTCCCTGGACCTGGAGACAAGCATATATATACATTTAATCCCATGCGTGAATTTATTCACAATTATGATTCTCATGTAAATGAAGCATTTGAAGATTTCAAGAAAACTCATAGCAAGGAATATACAGACCATGTAGATCAATTAATACGTAAAGAAATATTTAGACAAAATTTAAGGTGTGTCTCATATTTGTGCGTTGTATATAATTAATATGAATGTTCATAATCAATAGTTAATATAAACGTTTTTGTAGATTTATTCATTCGACTAATCGAGCTGTTAAAGGCTATCAGTTAGGCGTTAACCATTTGGTAGATCGTACTGAGTTAGAATTGAAAGCTTTACGTGGCAAACAATATACTGCAGGTCACAAGGGAGGACAACCTTTTCCATACAATGCTGAAGAAGAAGTAACCAAAATTCCAGATAGTTTAGATTGGAGACTCTATGGTGCTGTTACTCCTGTTAAAGGCTTGTGTTCTATTTTTCTCTTAATTTTAATTAATTTTTCTTTCAATAAAAAATTGTTTGACATTCTAAATTAACAAAAACTTTTCAATTAAATAGATCAGTCTGTTTGTGGATCTTGCTGGAGCTTTGGTACAACTGGTGCTGTTGAAGGCGCGTACTATATGAAGCATGGTAAATTAGTGCGTTTGTCTCAACAGGTAAATAAGTTGAAATATTTATTTAAATGAATATTATAAATAAAGGAATACTTCAATACGATATGTCATAATTGTAGGCACTTATTGATTGTTCATGGGGCTTTGGAAACAATGGCTGTGATGGTGGTGAAGATTTTAGATCATATCAGTGGATTATGAAGCATGGAGGTTTACCTACTGAAGACGATTATGGCGGTTATCTTGGTCAAGTAAGTAAATATTTTGTAGATTATCCATGTGGGTATATATAAATTAATAATAAATTTTAATATTATATTTATTAATAAATTAAAAATTAATTTTAAATTACTTTCAATTTTTTTCTTTAGGATGGTTATTGTCACATAGATAATACTACACTAACAGCCAAAATTACAGGCTATGTGAATGTTGCACCAAACGATCCTAATGCTTTAAAAGTTGCTATTGCGAAACATGGTCCAATTTCTGTTGCAATTGACGCATCTCATAAAACATTTTCATTTTATTCCCATGGTGTATATTACGATTCTGTTTGTGGTAAGTAAATACAAATTTTCTGAAGAAACATTTTTCTAAAAATAAATATCATCTCGTTGTAGGTAATACGGAAGAGAGTCTAGATCATGCAGTTTTAGCTGTAGGTTATGGTACATTAAATGGAAAAGATTATTGGTTGGTCAAAAATTCATGGTCAAATTACTGGGGTAATGATGGTTATATTCTTATGTCTCAGGAAAAAAATAATTGTGGTGTATTAACAGCTCCAACATACGTTACTATGTAAAACAAATAAATAATACTATATTCATGTTTTTAATATAAATGTATAGGAAAAGAGGCTGTTGAAAATCGAAGATATACATATTTCTTTTTTAAGAAATTAATGATAGAAATCATAGAAATAACTGTTTAAAAAAAAATCGTTGAAATTGTATTTGATGGGTTAAATAAATAATACATAATTATAAAACTTATGAAAACTAGCACTGTATAAACATAAACAAAATGACTTTTATTAAAAAGCTTTAGTATGTAAAAGTGGTTTTATAATTTTGGTTTTGTTTGTTATTGTTACTAAAAATATTTGTATAACAAAAAATACACAAATGCCATGTTTTCGACTAAAATCTATACAATATAAAAACAAATTACGTAGTAATTGCAATTTGCTGATTTCGCAAAGCAATATCATTTACTCAGTATAAAAAGCATAAATGAATATAAACAGCTATGCAATTAAACAATGTCACGTTCTTATTTTAACACAGAAAATAGGCATTGCTATACATGGATAACTCTATAACATTGATGTGTTGGAAAGCCTGATGCTGGAATTATAATAACAATTACTTATAAAAATATATGTAATTTCAGTAGGCACAGTTTGCGTAATACAATTTTTTAAATCGTTATAAAATCATACATATACTGAAATAGTTATATATGTAACTGTGCGTTCAATACAACTAAAAAGAATGTTACATAAATCAAAATGAAAGTATTCGAAATAAAAAATTTATATTACTAATTAAAAATTAATATTATTTCGTAATTTTCGATCATATGTAGGTTTTTATATGATATTCCATATTTTCTATATTCATCAATCTGTTTTAACAGACAGATCGACATTTATCATGTGTGATCGGTGTGATAACATAATATTGATTTGACATAAAAACAAATTTGTCTGAAAAAATTAATCTTTTCAAGTATAAATAATACATAAAAAAATTTGTTGTAAATATATTTTTTAAAAAGTTACGTATTCTTAATGAATTTCATTGTTTAATATAGTCTTTATCTTTTTGTCTTTCGTACGTATAAATCTAATACACTATTTCATTCAACCAAAGTTCATACTGTATAACACTAAAAAATAGTTTTATTTAAAAACTTGTGCAATTTTGTGCTATTTAATCGATTAGTTAAATTATATTTTTTGTTTTTACACGATTTTAAGGATAAATTTCCAATTGTCATATTACAAAGTATTAGAAAATTTTCGGTACTATCTTCATAAATTTAATTAAAGAAAAATAAATTTATACAAAAACAACTTTTTTAAAAATTGATTTACGCAAAATATCTTTTGATTTAATTACTTTCTTTTTCACAAACAAATGTGCTTTAATTAATTAATATATAATATGTTTCAAATCATATAAATGAATTTTATAATTATTCAACGGCATTAACTTTGGTTATCATTTGCTAATCATATCTCTCTCTTATGAATTATAAATATACGATCTAATCTCGTACACTTTGAAAATATTACTTATAAAGTATTCTCATAAAATTATTTTCGTCATTGAAATTTCATACACACAAGGTATAATATATTACTGATTGAAGATAATTCGAGATAAATTGAAATTTGAAGAAAGCTTTTAAACCACTCCATGATATGAACAGTTCAAAAATATAGATACCTAAATATTGTTATTAATATTCAATATGTACGAAGAAATAAATGTTAAGGATATTTCAGTATGATATTTCAGTCAAATATTTTTATATAATATAACTAACAAAACAATGACTATATCTTTCACAAACTACTATATTAAAAAGTATCTGTTTCATCATGCTTTATTACATTTACTGGGATCATGCTATAATTAAATAATTGGATTAACCGTATCACAATATTTATATAAAATTCCCGTAAGGTTTCGAAATATACATCGATCAAGATATTAACTAATGAACGTGTAACATCATCCTGCTTGTGAATCTAATTTTTTCGACCATTTTAATTTTAGACTATTTTACATTTGTAGAGCAAGAAACGTAACACGTTTAAGTACTTACACGAGAGATACTTTTCAACAAATTAATTTTTAATATGTGGTCGAAATTATACAAGAATTAATTAAAGATATTTGTGTTATATAACTCTTTAATTTTCTTTTTTGTCTCATTATTTTCTTTTACTTTCATTGTATATCACTTGTGGACCCTGCTCCGATCGGTCACATTTGACGATCGAGATAATCGTGGTATGGCGATCCTAGAGGAACAGCAAATCTTCAAATTATATAATACGATCGACAAATAGTAGGAATGTTTAAAAGATTCACTCAATAAAAGCGTCTTTTTATGTACTCTCATCATCGATATAGTAAAGAATATAGAAATATCTTGTATAAGTCTCCATATAACTAAGATGTTTCTTGTTTAGGACATTTTTTCCACATATTTTCACCCTAACCCTACTCCTCTCGCTTTATAAACGTATTATCTGTTTAAAGAAATCCCATTTCTAAGGCGTTGTATAACGATTGTGTGTCCGAGTGACTATTTATTCTCCAGAAAGGGAAATTATGGGCACGCGCTGCTGTTTCTTCATCGGAATCATCGCCTATTACTACATATGTGCATCTTCGACCAAATCGCGCAACTACTCTTCCAAAACAGCTTTCTTTTCCTAAAAATTATTAATTTCGAACATTATACAATACAATAATTATTTTAAATTAGACATATTTAAATTTCTTTGTTGAAATTTCTTGAAAACTCACCGATTTTCGAGGCCGAATAGATATTTTCAATTGGAAATATTCCGCCGATCCCAAAAAGCAATACTTTTGATAAAGCTGGTACTAATTGCGTAGTAGTAACCAAAATGTTAATACAATCACTTCTTTTATTTATGAGACTCAAACATTTTACAGCAGACGTTAACCAATTGTCAGTGAGTACTTCAATCTCAGAACGTAGTTGCAACCATTGTTCTTGTTTCGCAGCTCCCAATAAACCACCAACATTGTTTCGATAATTATTATAGATCTCTTTAATTTTTCGGTATCGAAAGGCTAATTTTCGCATCCAATCGACACCACCTCTGACACCGGAAGCCAAACATATACCGTTGTTCGCAGACGCGTATTGAAAACCGTCGTTAGCAAAATTATAAGAAGATAGATCCTGCCCATTATCATCCGATGATACGTCATCGATATGTACTTGGTCACAATCCTATAGTGGAATCAAAGACAGAGAATTTCGAAATTAATGATACGCGATAATTCTGATACATACAAATTTAATTTAAATTTTTAATAAGAATCTTTTCCATTTTATTTAAAGAATTTTGCCTGCTCACCTCAACATCGTTGAAAAAAAAGTGAGTATCAGCTAAATTGAATATCATTTCCTCCATTCTATACGCCACTTGGGCTAAAAGGGCTGGATCCTTACGGTGCTTCGTTGCAAATTGTCCAGTTAACAACGAATGAAATACAACTATGGTTTCGTCCAGGTCCCAGATGAATATCCGGTCAGGACCGGCTTCTGTCGTGTCCGCAGAGCCTATACTATTTCCACTTCCGCTTTGGCGTCTTCCGCGTCTGCAAGGTTTCGCCGTCGCTCCTGAAACAGGTTGTTAACTGTACGTTATTTTCACATATGCTTCCTTGACAAGGAAAGTTCATCTAAAAATTTATTTATTTAGAAAAAAGGATAGGTAAAAATATTTAAAAAATCAATGTTTCTTAATTTTAAACACGTTTGTACAAAAATCTTTTGTAGCAAAATAAATTGAGATGTAAAAAATAAAAAATTGAAGCTAATAATTTTAATAACTAAAAATGATATTTGTCTGTATCTTTAATTTAGTTTAGCTCCTTTTATGTCTAATTCTTTATGCTAATAAAAATCGAACATAAATCTGAAAATGATTATGAGAAATATTGTATTGCGCGCTACCGCCCACGTGATCAGCGAACAAGCAGCCATAAAAAAATTTTTTTGTTGTCTAATATTATGTGTGTATATATATATATATATATATACACATACTAGAGTACATAGCATGTGTCATAATGTAAATTTTACTAGACAATTTAAGAGTAATTAGCAATAACTAATATTATCTATTCTAATCGTATAAAACTACATGGTATACGCATCACTTTTATACTTTTTTAACAATTTATTTGTTTGTATGTTATTTTCTGTTTGAAGATGTTCTTGACAACTGTTGAAGCATATTCAAGGAGAGTATTATTTATATCGATGCAAAAAATGGGAACATAAAAATCACACGTACGAATCGTGTTACCTTCGATGTTTGCGGTTTCTCGTGCGGTAAGATCGCTGGCATCGTGAGTTGTTGCGTCCAACGTGAGCGCAGACTTTGTCGAATCTTTTTACAAAAAAGGAAATCGTTACTGACAAATTATAACTGCAAATAAATCGTAATCGCCGCGAAAATTTACGCGTAAGAACATAGTAAGAACCATCGCTGTTAACATAAATGAATGAAACTATTATTCGTAAGTAATTAATAACAAAATTTTTAATATTTGTGGAAAAAAAAACAAATAAAACATAGAAAATTAATAAAATTAATAAAATTTATAAGTCAGTATGTTTGAGTAAAAAAAATTGATGATCTGTAATTTTACATGGAAACAGACAATCTCTTCTTGCACATCTTTCAAATTTTTAACTGAATAAAAATTATGACTTCTCCTCTAAGTGTTAATATTATAAAATTGATAGCGATACAGGATTAGTAACCTAACTAGTAATCAATTTCTCTCTTTAGTAATATCATATTTTCTTAGATATTAAAGAAACTTTTTCATTTTCAGAAATTTACACAAAACAGAATGATTTAGAAAGGAGAAAAAGAAAAAAACAATCATCTCTAGATTGCAAATCTCTCCGATATGCGATATGATCAGAAGATTAATTATTAATTATCCTATTGTCAATGGAGTCACTCTGCACGATGTAATACAAACCACGGATAACGAACGATTCTTATGCGACGGCAATATTTGAAATTAATTCTGCCTGCACTGATGCAATTCAAATTTTGTTGGTTCTCTCGGGATTCATTCGATGAGGATAGAGTTTGGTCGGAGGGAAAAAAGTCAACAGGGACATTACCAGCAAAATTTAGATTTCCAATGTTAAACGAGGCGGGTGTCGCGTGGTAACCGTGCATGGGATAATATCCGGAATACTGTAATGGTACCCTGTCATTTCCATACAAACTGCTGCTGTAGGCGCTGTACTCTAGTTTCTGAAAAAAATTATAGAAGATTCAACGGTAACGAGGATGGTAAAGATAATAAACTTTATTTGTTTCCAGTTACCTGCGATGACGGCGAGATATTTTGTGCCACGTTGGGAAAATTCGTTGTACCGCTATTGTACGTAGCGTACGATGAATATTGAGTCATGGAGCTGGGCGTCGTGTACGAGGTCAGGTAAGAACTTTGCAAGCCCGAGGTGTTTTTCCCCGCTGTGGTTGACCCATAGGGAGGTGAGTTGTATAAACTAATAGCATAAAGTTTCTGATGTTAACGAATATTGATTTGTAGATCAATTACCAAATGTACAAAGTATGTCCATATGATGAACATTTGTTAATGTTAGGACACCACGATATTCGAGAGATTATGAATTGGTAATACAAAAAAATAAATCTCAGCTTTATTTCGTCTCGTCTTCTTTGCTTTTTTAATGACACGTACAAATTTTGTTGACAGATGTTACGTAAAATAGTATCTTTAAAGCAAAGTATGAGTAATTCGAGTTCCGTGAGAACCAAAAAATCGTGATGGCAGAAAAAGCGTGTAGTTAGCAAGAAATAAATTCCATATGAATCATGTAAGGAAACTAGGGTGAGTAGTTTCGTTATTCTTTTGTGCTATTGTAACATATAATAAAGAATTGATTCTTTTTTTTTTTTCTATGAAAGTAATAGAAATATAAATAATTTATAAATAATTTTTAAATAACCTTTTCTCAAATTCTCATCTTTTAAATTATATCTTGGAATTGTAATTAATTAAATAAAAAGACGTATCCAAAAGATCCCATTTTTATAAATTATATTATAATTATGTATATAATTTACTTTTTTTAAAATTAATTTATTTTTTCCTAGATACGAATACTATAATACAATCTACGATCGATTACGAATCGGAATAAGCTCGAGGACATGATGAATGATGATGCGGTTCAAGTATGAAGAATACGTGCCTGTTATAATATTGATTGGCTCCGTACAACGAACTGTAGTCCGCTTTTTCCATAGAATCCGGATATTCTTGCTCCTTTTCTTCGGCATTCTCGTCGATGTATAATTCTCCGCTGGGCACGCTGTCATTTTCAGGACAATCTTGCACCTCGTTCTTGACTTCCGTTTCTGTCAGTATAAGCAAAATAGTTTCCGTTCATACATAAATATCTCTGTCATAGAAACAAGTTTTTAGATTTTTTCATTACTATTGCTGCCATTTTTTTTTGCAGCTTCGTGCAATTATTTTTAAAATGGAATTTCAATTTTTATCTAAATAATTTTGAACATTTCATGTGTAATAATGAAATATAAAAAATATATAAAATATTCGCTCAGTAGTTTTGTCTAGTGTTCTTATAAAACTATGACTCAACTTAGCCATTCAACAATGTTTTGGAAACAAAATATGTGTACCTATGTACGTGCATAATTAAAATGAAATGATCACAAGTATACTCGTCAAATACTGTTAAAAGATTAAACACATAGGAATATTGTAACAAAAATGATGCAATGTATATTGCTTTTTTTGACTAAAATTCTTTTAGAAATTAGTGTAAAAATGTATCGATTCAGTCTGTAATTACAATCATGTTCGAAATTATTTCGTAACAAATAACTGATGAAAAGTTCTTCTCTAAATGTTGTAGCGAAGATATATTTATTTCATTCCACTTCGACAGCGATGAATAATTAATTTACCAAATAATTAGCCACCAGACCGTCAGGTTCCATCTCTCGATGTGTTACAG